GGACTTTATAAACAATAGAGCTGCAAAATTCGTTGTCGTGTTAATGTCTAGTTTCTTTGTCAAATCACATTAGGTTCAGTGGATTAATGGAAATCTAAAATGGTAAAAATTAATGCAAAAAGATTCAGAGCTCTTTATAGGTGGTTTTTTTTTTTTTTTTTGTTGATAAAAAGTGTGCTTTCACAATTTTAGGCTTCTGGTTATTTTAATTATTGTTGTTTGAATTGAAAGTCTGGAACTGGAATTCCGTATCTGTAGTTGATGTATGAATTTGAAATTTCGTAGATTTTGTTTAGTTTTGAGGATTGGGACTGTTTCTAAGCTGGGGATCTAGAGCTCGATTTATGGGGTATGATATTCTTATGACTAGTGAATTGGAGTTCCTTTGAAACACTAGTTTGAAATACAATTTGATCCATTTCTGTTTTATATACTATTAATGGAATATACGAATAAGTTCTATTATATGGATCCATATTGGGTTCTTTTACAACCAAATGGGTATTTCTATTCATATTTATAAATGTATTAAGATATACTGTAATTTATTTATCACCATTAATCAGTATGCATAATGTGACATGTTCGATTGTGGAGTATATGTTTGCATGATGATGATGTTTGAGATGGGGGCATTTGAGCTGTCAGAAGTAATTTTTTTTAATTAGATAACTTCTTAATTTAATTTCTACATATATGCTCATTTTAATTGTGGCATAATGAATCTATTGCCTATTAGGAGCAATCTGATATCTTCCGACAACAAATTGCCATTAATCTATACAGAAGCAATTACAATATGTTCGCTTCGCCGAGATAGGAACTCTTATGCTTGATATAGATTCTCGATAATGGTAAGTATGATTTTAATGCATTTGTTATCTATGTATTGCGTTTTGTATTGCAGTGTAGTTGTTCTTTCGAGGTATATTGGTGGGGCTAATTCATTGTTTTTTTGTGCTTTGATAGGTGTTATGGAGTTTTAGCTTTTCATCTTCGTGCGTAGTTAATCTTGGAGCTCGTTTGTCTTGGGAGCAGTTACTCTTGTTAGCTTTTAGCATATTTTGTGGTCCACCGTATTTTTCTTTCTCTTTCGTTTAATGATTAATTGCAGATGATTTTAGAGACTGATTTTTTTCTTTTTTTTTATTGAATTTGGGTTTTGGTTTAGGATAAATTTGAATCCGACGGACTTTGGGGATATTGTATGTTTTGATTTTATTGATTAGATGATTTTTATAGTGATGGATTGTGGGTCTTAATGAGTTCTTACGGCCTGGAGAGTTATATTTTTATCTTTTTATTTTTGTAGTGATAGATTTTTTTCTGTTTCTGATAGCAATGTCATCAAGAACATTAAATAGGTGAGCTAAAAATTTGTTAGAAGCAGGTTCAATGATAGCAAAAAAAATTGCCCCTTGCCCAAATCCATAAACTTTAATACTTGAAAGGCTGGAGTGTAATTAAATTTTTTTAGTCAAATTAATTTTCGAACTTAGAAAATCTTGATTAATTGGTAAATGTGTAATTTCTGAAATTGTATATGTAGTCAAAAATAAACTTGAAAGCTGGGACTAAATTTTAAAATTCCAAACTTTGAGAAACCTCAAATCAGATTTTAGCTTTATTCCAACTGGCCCTCGACCAATTCAACAATAATAAAAAGTAGGAGATTAACTGTAATTTCAAAGACATTAATTTGGGGTAAGTTGCAATTTATTAAAACTTTCAGAAGTTGGTGGTGATGGGGCTTGAAACAAGTGGCCTTGAAAGGGCGGCGCAGCCGAGATAACCGGATGGCCACCGCCCGTAATTTAATATTTCACCCATGTTTCAACTACATAATCCTTAGTTAGATTAATTCTCAGCCAAATTATTTTGCGAATTTTTTTTACCACAAAATAGATACATATAAAATTTAGCAAAATAAATCATAATTCAAGGATAAATGCCAAAACCGCCAGTAAATTTAACCACAAAATCTTTAACAAAATATATGCAAAACCGCCAGCAAATTTAACCACAAAATCTTTAACAAAATATATGCCAAAACCGCCGGTAAAAACAAAAATCCAAGGATAATCATAATCAAAATTATTCCATGGTCACCATAACCATCCATCTATAGACACGAATTCTGACTACAGTCATATTGAGTACTACTAGTTTCCACTATATTTCTTGATTTCTTGGCACAAGCATTTGTACGTCGATCAATGTTGACGGGATTTCTAATACACGTGGTAGTTTTATGGCCAGGCTCCCTTGCAAAAAACACCATAAAAGAAATCATAAGTACTAATTGAAATATTTAATTAAATTTAAGTCAGAAATTTGTCTTTACAAAATAGAATGAGCACGTACCGACAAAAACCACATTCATCAAAACAATTGAAAATTCAAGTGACCCCATAATGTTTACCGGTATAGTGCAATGAATTTTAATTTTAATTCTAATTTTAGTTTTTTTGGCTAGATTAAAAAATTAAAAGAAATGAAATAATTATGGCAACAAGATGCAGGGGAGGTTCATTTATTATGCAATGAAGCAGCCAACAGCTTGAAAATAACTGCATATAAAAAAATTGAGGTGAAAACAAATGAGTGTATCACATCAAATTATACTGTTACATACATCTCCATGGCCACACATCTTACAATCAAGATTTAGTTTTTATGTTGTACCCTTCGGACAAAAAAACAAAAACCAAATTAACTGAATTTGTAATATTTCGTTACACAGAACTAATAGAAAATTAACGAATAGCTAGGGCTTCTCTCTTTTTTTTTTTTTTATTTATTTATTTATTTTTTATTTATTTTTTTTTTGGTTGCAGGAGAAATTAAAAGAAGAATAATTTAAATCTGTCTAAAAAATACCAAATAAATCATTCTTTCAACCAAACACCATGAAATTTCGTTGAGAATCAGATTTATAAGTCTATAATCATATCCAATTAGAATCTCATGAATCAAAATAAGATAAAATCTAATTTAACACATAATTCATAGATGACTCAGAAATTGTGCAGTTTCGGAAAATGGTTCATAACTTGACCAATATAATTCTTATTTACGCATACCATATATCAAAACGAAGTTAACAGAAACATCTGCATGCACATTTAATTTCATAATTTTCATAAAATAAATCATTGATGAAACATGCACTGGAAGATGGGGCTACGAATCTGAATTTTGAACTAGGGTTCATTGAAATCTATATTTCTTGACCTAGATCCCTAAATTCGATTCCTAAACATATAAATCAATTCAACACATAAACATATCTTATTATTTATCATTGATTCAGTAAAGACTAGAGTCCTTACCCCTTTGAAGAAAATCGAAGACAAGGGAAAGATAAACCGAAGGATTCTCGGAGCTTTGGCTTGAAGGCTTTTTTTTTGCGGCTGAACTTGAAGACTAATGTCTGGTTTTCTGTAAAATTCATGGAATGGAATCTCAATTGTCGACCTCTCATACTGACAAAAACCGACAAACTAGAACACCAAGTATGGTGTGAACTGTAATTAATCATTAACACGCAAATCCTTCAATAAGCCCAACTCCAAATAGATTGTTAAGAAAAATCAATCAAACACGTAGTTGAATAAATTAATTGAAGAAATCAATTGATAAACCGATAAAAACAACCGTCTAAATCTTTGCTAACCCCAGATGTCAATTTTGTTTTTCTGTACACAATAACTACACGAAACACAGTTATATATGGATTTGTCCAATTCATGAATTAGAAAACACACAAAAATCAAAACCCTACACCTTAACTTTCTTGTTTTCCTTTATTCGTAGAGAAGAGAAGAAAGATTATACCTCGACTATATCCCTGCCCGAAATGAACGATTGATGAAGATGATTTTTATTTTTATTGATGATGATGGGCGACGATTTTTATTGATGATGATGGCGATGATTTGTTTTTTCTCCCTTTTTCAGACGATGAATAGACAAAGAAAAAAAAGGATTGAAGAGATTAGGGACGATTTGTTTTTTCTCTTTTTTTCAGACAAAGAAAAAAAAGAATTGAAGAGATTAGGGTTTAATGAGAATAATTAGATCGTAATAATTAGATTGTAATAAGCTTGTAAATTATTGATTTTTCTAATTATATTTTTTATTTTAATTAAAAAGGGTTTTTATGTAATTTCAACCGTAATCCAGGGTTCGTACTTTTTTTACTGGGTACGTATTAATCCTGCGTGGCACGTTTCTATTGGTTGATCTTCAATCGTTTGGGTCCGAGAAGTACATACCCTCTCGGACCCTAGACAGCCCCAAATAAATAAGTTATATGATAAGATTATATCATAATAACATGGGATTGTCTAGGGTCCGAGAGGGCTGTACTTCTCGGACCGTAAAACATTTAATCTGGTGCGTACAAAACATCCAAGTTTTAATCTTAGCCATTAATTTTATGTACGACATATGTACGACCCAGTACGACACTAGAAATTTAAAAATTAATGTACGAACCTAGTAAAAACACATCGTTCACCATCGTACACTGATCGTACTTTATATAAATTACTTAATTAACCTTATAAATTCAAATCAATAAATTAAAATATTATTAAATATAAAAATCATAATCACTTAAGAAAATTGCACGAAGTCTTAACAAAGAAAAAAGATCATCCACTTTTTCCATGACCAATCTTCTTTCGCACATAGATAGAGACGCAATACATGATTTTTTTGTGGGTTCCATCTCCCCTCATGGCGAACTCCGTCGAGATAATTAGAGTTTTAATTTATGGCAGATTTCCTTCTGGCGTTACGACTTTTTTTTTAATTTTTTTCCTTAGTGTTGTTATCGACTTATCGCGAATTGTGGTGGAGGAATGAAAATCGATGGTTGTGGTAGGTTGAACGGCGACCGATGAGAGAATTCCGTATGGGACATCGATCTGAGAGCGATATAGACGCAAAAGCGGCAAATATGTTTTATAGTTTGGAGTTTTTTTTTCAATTTTTTAAATTTAGTTTTCAGATTTGGATTTAAAACTTAATTAGAAAATTGAATCCATGAAAATAAGAACATTTGTGTTTTGTGTTTCTTTTCTTTGCTATTCTTGTGGATTTTACTTAAATCTTGATATAGTTCGTGCGAATGAGCTTTGAAAGCTTTTAAAATTATTGCCTAATTTTCCTTTTAATTGTGTGTTTTGCGTTTTTGTTTTGTTGGCTGCTCTATTATTTGATCAATGTATTATGTTTCTTGAATGTAGCTAGGCATTTTCTTATTTTTTATGATGTGATTTGTTGTTAAGAACAATTAGATGTTTACATTTCCTGACATATATAAATGCTCATAGTTGTCTTGTTTATAATTTGTGAAAAATGGTTCCTTTTTTGGTCCATTTTTTAAGAAATATACAACTTCTGCAAACTACGTGTTTCCGAGTATATATGAAAACTTTTCCGATACAACTCTGATGCATGCATACATTTTCACTTTCTCAGGGCCATGAACCACCGCCAACCGATACTCCAATGAGCTCAACAAACATCAGCTCATGTTCCATCAATCCAACCGATCCCAAATTCTTCGGCTTTCTCAAGCCCTGCTCCTTACCACTAGTCCAACATCATTGTCCTATCTAAGTCCGCCACATGGCGATAGAAACCCCACATCGTGTATTCTACTTTTCCTCCGTTTATGCAACAAAGCCGCCCCGGAATCCGGATTGAAGAGTATGCTGGTTTGTGATATTTGTTCTATGGGCCCGATTTTGCGGACTTATATATCGGTGCTCCCTTTGTGCAATCATGTTTTCCATTCACATTGCATTTCGAGGAGGATGTTGGGAAAAAAATTATATGTGCCATGCGTGCAAAGTTTTTGGGTTTTCGTATATTCAGGGGTATTGATCGTCCTCGTCCAGTTCCACGTGCTCCTTGAAACTTGAGAGAGTTGCAAGTTTGGTTATTTATTTATTTTTATTATTATTGAAAAAAACTTATGTAATAGTAGGTAGCATTTTATCAGAGTTTTAACTTGTTTTTTATTCCAGTTTTAATTAACGATGAGATTAAACCGTGGGCGGATGATGTGTTTGATCATTGTTCTTGAATGTTTTTTGGCCTGGTTTGTTTTTAGTATATGCCTTATTGTTGATGAACTTATACATTACGCAGATTTAATTTTCATGTTTTGTTCTTTTTGATTCAACATAACGAAACTTATCGGAGTATCAAGTATGTATCAGTTTTGTTTGCCTTGATGATTTTTTTGGTTGCAAGAAACAGAGCTAGTTCTTGCTTATTTGATTCTTTTCTTCTTTTTTTTCACTGAAAAATGTTAATTTTTTTACTTGGTATCAAAAGACAAAATTTGTCTAAGATTGAGGTTGGCCAGGGACCAATGTTAATACTTCTTATACACCTATTTACAAATAGTATTCATATCAACCAAACAAGAATCTCTAATTTTTACATCTGATATTAGGACAATACTCTTGAAGAAAGAAATAATAGATAAAAGAAAATGATGGAAGATCATCAGTTCATGTACTCAAAACAATTAAAATGGAAGTGGTGGACATGAATGAAACACATCTTAGAGAAGATTGCTGATCTTTCTAGGCTCTTTCAGTGCAACAATTGGCTGTCACTTGTCTTCTTCAAACTAGACCACCATTCTTCACGAAATTCTTCTTAGACTCGATCACCTGCAAGCGCGAAATAATGAACAACTTTAAGGCAATACCAAATAAAATTCAACCTAAAATTCGTACACTAATTTGTGTATCTCTTAAATGTCAGCACTCTCTCTCTATCTCATTCCCACATGTCAATTTAAACATCTTAATCAAGTGAAACTTGCAATGTGAATATCAAAATGACAGTACATAAATCATGACCTTATCATCTCATAATAATATTGTTACTTCGAACATAGACTATTTAAATAAGTAAAGCATTTAGAAATACCAAAAGACACAAAGATGTCATTTTTCCCGATTGCAGTTGGCATACTCTAGAAAAATAATCATAACTTCTTCCTCGGTTGTTTTTTTTTTTGTAAACCACTTTTCTTGTTAAAAGCTAGATTTCCGGAGCTTTCTAATCATATATTGAAGATATTCTAGTTTCTTATCAATTAGAGCAGTTTTGGGTTCAAAGTTACCCTCTCTACGGACTCACGTGTCATATGGAACAAGATTACATCATATTTCTTTCTTGAAGTTTAAATCTCTGAATAATAATACGTAGCAACAAAGTTGCGCAAGAGAAAATTGCTAAACATACGGAAATCAAAAGTTTAGTCCTTAACTTTCTTGTTTCACAGAGAAGAAACATTGTCCCTTGACTGAATGATGATTAATGGAGGAAAAGATCGTTAATGATTTTTTTTTTTTTTTTTGAGATGAACGATCGATATAGTTCTTTCAAGAGGAAATATCGATGATGGTGAGGATGATGAAAAAAACCGATTGGGGAGATTAGGTTAAATGATTAAACGATTGATGATTATTGAAATAATAAGTCGTGTTAGAAAATTTTCATTTAATTATTTTAAAATTTAATTTGTAATTAACTTTTGAATTATTGATTTTTCTAATTATATTTTTAAGTTTAATTACAAGGGGTTTTTATGTAATTTTACCTGTAACACAGGGTTCGTACCTTTTATTATAGGGTACGTACTAATCATACGTGGCATAATTTTATTGGTTGGTTATGGTCCGAGAAGTACAACCCTCTCGGACCCTAGTCAACCCCTAATAACATAATGGTAGTGACTGATTAAGGCCCATGAGAAAACTTCACTTTCAAATAATAAGTAATAAAAACGGTAAAAAGAACAAATTAATTAATTCAAAAATTCGTAAAAATTGATCGCAATTTTTGTTTTTATAATTTTTTTGTTGCCCAATCAATACGACATAAACTAATCCCCCGCTGTCATCTCGATCTCAATGAAGTTTGAGTTATAAAAAAAAAAATTTAAATAGCACTTATAAACCACTTAAACTTTGTCAATTTTTGCGGTCATCACCTCAAAAAAAAAAAAAAAAAGTTGCACGATCACATCCAAATTCGTTATTCTGCCAAGTTGCCTATTTTCAGGCCATTTTGGCGGGAAATCACAACATGTGCATTGCACATCACTATTTTTAGTGCTCAAGTGTCTTTTCCCCAAATCACCTAATTAATCATTCTTCCCCTCCATTTCTTCTTCTTCTTCTTCTTCTTCTTCTTCTTCTTCTTCTTCTTCTTCTTCTTCTTCTTCTTCTTCTTCTTCTTCTTCTTCTTCTTCTTTGATATGTTACTAAGATTGAAAATTCAGGCCAGTTTGGTTTTATATTCTCTTCGACTCATCCATTATTTTACCCCAAAACACCTTCGAGTTCAAACCCAATTTCTCCAGCCTACCAATCAAATATCCCTTCTCCACGAAATTCATCACCAAACAATTCACTTTCACCAAATCACCCATACAAGATCTCAAATCACACGTCATGGAGAATTCCCCTAACATTCTCCAACTATTTGGAATCGAGGTTATCACAGTTTTGTGGGTAATCGTTGGCAATTACAAGGAGAGGCTGATGGGGGAGAATGGATTCGAGTTGGCTAAGGAGATGTCCTCGTTTTAAAAACGGAGGAGGAAGAAGAAGAGAAAATGTGGAGGAATAAAGGAGAGAAGAGAGAAATTGAGAGAAATAAAAGAGGAATTTGAGAAATTAGGGCTTGTGATTTTGAAAAGATAAAAACATCCTTCCAAATCGCATGTGCAACGCACATGTGTTCATTTCCGGCCATTTTGACCTGAAATGAGAAAAACGGCAATGTGGCACAACTTATTGAGTTTAGGTGGGATTAGAGTTTTTTTTGTGTTTTTTTGTTTGTTGAGGCGGTAATCCGCATAAAAATGGTAAAATTTAGGTGGTTTAATGCTATTTATCCAAGAAAGAAGTATACAATTATCTGACATGCAAATGGATAAAGAAATCTGAATGTTACAAAATCACATTTTCGCCAGAACATTACACGATTATCGCAATGTATGTGTTACAACACTATCCGACTCCCTATCCCTCTTTTTGTCGAATTACAACTGTAGAAGTAAAGAAATTCGAAAATTAAAACCTGAAAATGTACTGAAAAATTGAATACTCTTGAAAAATAGAATACTCGTGAAAACGTGAAAACATGAAACGTGGCGGGCCTGTTTCTCTTTAGTCAAGGAATTTACAATGACCTGTCTCTCTTCACCTTTTCCATCCAACAACTATTCATCGTCTTTATCATTTATTCGATAAGGAATCTGATTGAACTGAAAAGAAAAAAAATGCAGAAAATAGGAATTACCAATGGCTACTATGGAAGATTGTAAGCAAAGAAGGTGTACCAATCCTATTTCGGTTATTGCTCGATCAAAGAATAAGACAATTGAAAAAAAAAAAAAAAAAAAAAAACTGCAAGGTAAAGCAAAAAATTAACAAAACATAATTTCAGAAAATAATAATTATCTATTAAATATTTATAGCATGAGATGACAAAATACTTTCACCCTATATAAATCGACAAATTCTATATTGTACGTGTGGCAGTGGGAGATTTTTTAGAAGCCAATGGAATCTCACAGATAATCCATAAATATGTACAGAGGTTGATGTGCATTGTGAATGGGAGGTTTTTTATGTTGAGAATTGAGATGATATCGTGTGTGATGATGCTAGAGATAGATCACCTTACAGAGTTGAAGTAGGATGAGCTGGAAGAGTAAAGTGGATCACTGGCTCACGAGCTTGATGACCTTGAGATACCTGCGATCATAGAACACGTGAACTAGGCCGTGGGTTGATCCGGCGGAAACCCCTCCGACGCTCAAGTCAGACGTGCGGATAGTGGAAATAGTCCAGAGAATACATATTATAGTATTGCTCAGTTAATAGGACGTACCTTAAGGAATGAGTTCAAACATTTATTTATAGCTTAGTTGAGATTGTCGGGCCCAAACCTTACTTGAAGGTGATTGGGCCTCGGTGATAGTGGTCTTAAATATTGGGTTCGTGGCGCATTAGATAAAGATTTTGTAGGCCCATTGGGTTGGCCCAATTAGGCATATCATTAAGCCCCCAACTCTCGAGTCGATGTGGGGGTCATGTCGAAATGGGTTCTCGATCGTGTCGAGAGTAAAAATTCTAGTGGTCTTTCTTTGGCATATGGCCTGATGGTGTGCGAAAACGCGTTGGAGCGTGTGTCGGAGGGGCGTGAAGGCGCGTTGTCGCGTAACGCGATCAAGTTGTCGCGATGTAAGTTACTTGAGTTGTCGGTGTTGTTCCGCGACGATGTAGTAGCGAATTATCTCCTCGTGGGGGTTGTCTCGTCGCGGGGTAATAAAGTTGATCGAGTTATCTCCACGTGGGAGTTGTCTCGCGATAATGTAGTAGCACGTTTTAATGAAGGACCCGTCGAAAGCAAGTAGAAAAATTTGAGTAATCAAGCTGGCCAGGCTATATAGAATCCCATAATATCTCTAAGTGTTTCTAAGGTTGTAATCGTGCTAACTTGAGCTTGCGATTATGTAGTGAATTGCGAGCGAGTTGTCTCCTCGAGAGAGTTATCTTGCAGCGAAGTTGTAGGAGCATTGAATGACGCGCGACTGAGGAGCGTGCGGATTGAGGTCGCTCAGAGCGAGTTGTCTCCTCATGGGAGTTGTCTCGCAGTGAGTCTTTTTATCGAGTGAGGTCGCTGCACGTGGGAGTTGTCTTGCAACGGATTTGTAGTGCCGAGCGAGTTGGCTCCTCGTGGGAGTTTATTGTGTAGTTAATATTTGGAAGAGAGATTTTCGGGAATTTGTTTGATAGAGAAATTTTTTAGGATTTGATTTAAACTAAGGGTATTTTAGCCACAATAAATATTATTAATTTATTAAAATATGAAAATTTTAACTTAAATTTAGACACATAAATTATAATATAGAGGGACCTATAGCAAATTGCCCCTTAATTAAAACTGTGTAAAAGTAGGAATGGTAATTATATGATAATTATGAGTAACATTTAAAAACCGGATAAATAAATGAATTAACTCGGGTGGTGAGATTAAGAACAAAAACCGATGTGGAGACGTGTTTGCCGTTAAAGAGGAAATAGTTTGCATGGGTGCAACGTGTAATCATGACATCAAACGGTTTTGCCTCTTCACTTTCCTCTCTCACAAATTCACAATTTGAAAACATAACAAAAACCAATTCCAAATCCCATCTTTTCTCTCTCTAAACATTTCCACGCAGAAAGTTTTGAATCTTTTTCAAGGAAACTAAATTCATTAATGGAGTCGTCATTCTTCGGTAGTTCTCGTCTTGCTATTACTTTTCTTCTGCTGCTGCACGTCGTCTTCTTGCTACTATCGCCGGCGTCAGTTTACTGTGATGGTATGGTACTCTCTCTCTCTCTCTCTCTCTCTCTCTCACACACACACACACACCATTTTCTTTCTCCAACTAGGAACAATAAATTAATTAGTATGGATCTGCATGCAGTTTGTGATTTTCATTTATTAACCTGAATGAATTTCATTTCTTCCACAGTAGGGGTTTTATTTTGGTTTGGGCGGCAGAGTTCGATTTTGGTGGCGCGTGTTGTAAGATTTTTTTTTTTATTTAATAATTAAGTCACTAGGGAATTTAGAAGTATCGATCTGATCTGATAATATTGAAGGACTCTTTATGACATCTCGCATCTAATTAATTAATAATTATTTCATTCTTTCAAAGAAAGGCAGACGTTTTATTTAAAGAAATGCCTTATTTATGTGTCCGTGTCAGTGGAGTGGCGAGTCCAGAAATTTGTTGTACTTAAGGAATTTAGTGGAGTGGCGAGTCCAGAAATTTGTTACGTGGGTAGGATTAAATTTTCAGGGGCGCGGGGACAGCGACTGTGTGAAATTTCTTTTAGGACTTTTCTTGACAAAAACAGAAAATAGTAAAAGAAAAAAAGAAGAAAAAAATCCAAGTGTTTTTTTTTTTTATATTTGGGTTTTGGGTGGGCTAATTAATAAAATTGGGGTTTTTTTTTTTTTTTTTTTTTTTTTGCATTAATTTGTATTTTGGGTGGGCTAATTAATAAAAATTGGGTGGCTAAATAGATATATAGATGTAATAATATAGGGGATAAATTATAAATTGAGGGTGGGAGTACTGCATGGTGTCTGTGCATCATAGCTTATAACTGATTGACTGCTACCGATATCGTAGATAGCATGAATGTTTAATTTTTACCAACAATTTCGAACTATTTCGTACTGAAATGATCTTGTTTGTGTTCGATTTATTAATGATTATATATGCATATGACAAGCATTTTCCCTTTGAATACTTTTTACGTGCAGACGAGGAAAACAATCTCCTTCAAGGAATAAACAGCTTCCGACAATCATCTCGAGCGCCCGCCCTCGCAAAGCACGATAAGGCCGAATGTGTGGCCGACCAAATCGCCAACCAATTAGAACACCAAAGCTGCGCCTCGAACACACTACCGCCCACGCAATCCCAACTCATGTCAAATTACCCAAATGTCCTCAAGAAGTGCAAGATTGACGTCAACACCACCAAAGACGGTATGATCCTACCCGTTTGCGTGCCCCATCGGGTCTCCACACTCGTCCTCACAAACTACACCCAGTCGCAGAATTCCAAGTACTTGAATGATTCCCGGTTTACCGGTGCTGGAATTGGGAAAGAAGATGATTGGACTGTGCTTGTGTTAACCACGAGCACGCCCGGAGGTAGCTTTGCTAGTGGGGCCCGCCGATACTTGCCTTCGTCTCTTTTCTTGATGATGCTATTTGTGGGGTTGATTTATTGAACTTGCTGTGTGTGATTACACTTTTGGTATGTGTTTTTTTTTTAATTACTGAATTTGTGTTTGTATTTAATGTAATTGCCGGATTGAAGCGCTGTTCTTTGTTTCGAATGTTGTGGAATTTGTGGGGTTTAATTTCATCTTAATGGTGTATTATTGGTTCCGAAATTTTTCGTATGCTGGATTTCGGAGATGGTTTGATCTTTTCAGTACTTTGTGTATTGTTTCTTTTAATTTGTGTGGTACTGATTAGCTATTAGACTTAATATGGCATTGATCGAAATACATAATTTTTTAATTTTGTGTTACTATCAAATCATTACTATGTTATGAAGTGTACATTGGAGTCGATCATATTTCAATAATACATTATGAAGAAATGGAATTGATTTTTAGAGTTGATTGTTCATATTATTTGTAGACAACCTGTCTTTTACAATTTTACAAGTACTGTTTAAAATTAATACTTGTACAGTTTAAAGTTAATACTTGTGCAGATGTGAAAAGAGATAATTATTTAGGAACCGAATGAGTAATTTTATAAATTTTTGTTGAAAATATTTTAATGAGAGCTCGAAACTATGGAAACAAGAATCACCTTTTACAGGACGTAATTGTTGGGTGTAGAAATTACACTCAACACGTTTACCCTATGTAGATTTTTGTTTAGATTTTATCATATTAGTGTTTTCAATCGGTAGATTTTTGTGTTTATAGGTGCAAATCGAGAATTAAGTGTTTCATTAAATGAACAAAAAGAAAGGAAAAAAGTGCAATTAAGAGAATAAATTTAAGGGGTCTTAACATATAAATTCCTCGTGATAACCTTATTAGAACTAAATGACAAGCCTAACTAAAATTTGCTGCATATTTTTTATTAAATTCATTCAAAAAATGTCCGTCCACTCACAAATTCGAAATTACATCAGATTGTAAATATTCTATGATGTACTATGATATTATTTAACATTTTTAATTTGCATCCAGTATTTTTGTTATTTTTTTTACGTAGATTACGTTTCTCTTTTTGTTTTTTTCATTACTACAAGAATTTTTTTTTCTACATAATATTGAAAATTACGATTTTTTTCCGGTCTTAATCATATGGGAACCGTAATAATCTGTAGTCACCCCAGACATCTGTAGACATCTTGAAACCCTAAATCATCATTTGAACTCTAGCCACCAACCGCCAAACACTATTAAACACTCACAAATATCTATAGACATCAAAATCGTAAAATCTTAGATTCACCCCGTCAAACGCTAGATCCACCTCACCAACCCTAGATCCGCCCCAGCACCACTATCATACCCCACCACCGCCATTCAAAATGCTTTCAATAACATTACAACTATAACCACAACCCTCCGTCGCACAGCCCACTGCAACCGCCGCGTCCACCACAACTCCATCCACCGCCGTTGCGTCCACCACAACTTCCTCCACCACCGCTGCTCCTAGTTCCTCTGCTAGCACCGCCGGCGACGACCTTTGTGCTTCGAGAAAAAGAGAGAAATAGAGAAATGAGAGAAAAGGGAGATAGAGAGAAAAAATGAGAGGCAGAGATAATGTGAGAGAGAGATGGAGAGGGAGGGAGAACGTGAGAGAGAGATGGAGAGGGAGACAGAACGTGAGAGAGAGAGAAAAAAAATTAAAAAGGAGAAAAATAAATCTGAATTGAAGAAACGTCAATATAGGTTATAAGATTTAGGGTATAAGGGCAAGATAGAGATAAGAAAAGAATTGGGATGTGGCTCATATATTATTTCAATCTAAGGATTTAATTAAAAGATTGAATTTAGACTTGTCATTTAGTTCAAATTAAATTTCGGTTGAGGGGCTCATGGCATATTACCCCTAAATTTAAATGGAAAGAATGAATCCAACAACAATTTTGGTAGTGTCCATGATTTCATGCATATTTATTTAATTCGAATTCCAAATCGCCTGATTCAGTGGCATTGAAAATTTATCTCAAAGGTCAACAACTCCAACGTAATTTTTCAAAATTCGGACTCCAACATGGTCAAAATCGAATAAGAGGTCATGGTGGGAAGAAACTGCGGAAATTGAATCCTATTAGGTTTTCATTACTTCTTCATCAAGAAAATCCTATAAACGCAACAAGTTTCTACACCATAAGCACAAATTTGACACTACAAATCATTCAAGCACATAATATTAGAACAACGAGCAAGGCGCAAAGACGAAGAAACTCGTAGAATCAAAGATAGTTTTATTTCTCGATTTTAAGAAGTCTAGTTTGTTTTTTTATAATAACTATGAGTAGCTATAATTTTATATTCAAGGATTTTATTTGAACCCTATGTAAAATTTGTGAACTCATTTTCCATGATTTTATGCAAGTACTAATTCCGAATTGTTTATTTTACTTGTTTTATTAACTGCATGAAACTGACCCCTTTATGTGCTTTATTGTTATTGTAAAATTTGAATTGGAAGACCAGTTTGATAATTAGAACTGTTGTAGGAGAACCTTCGAGTCAAATTGATATGTGTTAGCATATGAATATAGTTATTCCCTTAGGTAACCGTAATTGAGGTTTGTGCTAAATTCTTTTTTCTTGATTGAATTGCATAGAAATACAGTAATTTAATCATGAATAATAGAATCGTAATATGCGCGGAAGCGGGCTATGATTAATTTAGCGTCGATATCTCAAATTAGAAACTCAAGATATTTGCTTGCATAATTGTAGGAACTACAGGATCAATAATTACATAGGGGAAGATAAAATTCTAAGCATTTTTAATTTGATTAATTTTCGTGTTAATTGCGTACTTGCTTTTTAATCTGTTTTTATATATATATATAATTTAGTTTAATTAGGATAAATCAACTCAACTTTCGACGTGTAGTGTGAATTTGAACATAGTTGAAATAATTTAGCGCTTAGGATTAGATAGTTGAATATTTCTCGTGGGATCGATATTCGGACTGAGTCGGATCATTTGAAGCTCCCAATTGCAGAACTGTGTGTTCCACCTAGGGGTGAAAGTCGGATGGATCGGATCGGAATTAGCATTTTCGAAAAAATTCCAAAAAATTTCAAAAGTACAAAATCAATTCCAATTCAAAAATTTTCGGAATCTAAAAACTGATTCAAAAAATAAGAATATCCATGTCGATAAAAGTAAAATTAATAACTACTAAATTTATGTTAAAAAAATAAATAATAAACCACATCATAATATCTACTAAAACTTATAAAAACAATTCAATATGTCAAAATTCTAAAACAAAACTTAAATCAAATGATGTTTTATAAAGAAAAATAAAAACTTAAACTAAGTATTATATAATATATATTATTTATTCGTGTATTTTTCAGAAACAAATTGGAATTTTTGGAAATTAAATGGATCGAAAATTGAAAAATCAATTTTTTTTATATAATTTCAATTCCAATCCAAAACAATCAGAAAAATTCGGAAACTGGAATTTTGGAAGTTGGAATGAAAAGAATTGTTCAAAATGGGAACTTTTGGCATCGGAACCGGCGGAAATTGAAATTTTCGCTCCATCCTTAATCAACGTAATAATATTACTGTTTATTATTGTAAAATAAATGTATTGACAGTAAAATTACTGTAAACTAATATTGTTGTCACCCACATCAATATTATTCAACAAATTAAACTAATAATTAACAACAATAATCCAAGACAAGAAGAACTGAGAAGTGTTCCAACACTTGCAATCTCACAATTCATTTACGAAACTAAAAAAAATTCCTCACGTTTCAGTAATTACAATCACTCCCTCAACTAGGGCATGTCCGGCATATTTGGGATCGGGCGAGAATATATATTGTGCCCTTAATAATATGGGGTTTCGTGGCAACACCCATACTTTTTATTTTATTTTATTTTTTAATTTTGATAAAATAATAAAGATAAATATTTATTAATTTAAATTATATTATCAATAAAATATTGGAAATATTAATATAGATGTAAATATTTTTTTTATAAAGCAAATGTTAGAAATGTATGAAATAATATTTATTTGAATAAAACAATGATTTTTAAATTGTATATATTTTAAACCAAGCTTTAAAATTTATTAATATAAAATATATTTTTTTAACAATAAAAAAATACGTTTTTTTATACAATAGAACAATATTATTTTCACACATAAAAAATATAAGTGTGTATATATATATATATATATATATATATATATATATATATATATATATATATATATATAGGGCAAATTACCAAAACCCCCCAAAGGTAAGTCTGAATAACGGAAATGCCCCCCACGTTCTCGTAATTACGAAAAACCCCCTGAGGTATGCAGACATCTTACAAATCGCTCTAACGGTGTTAAACTCGATAGAATCTTTTTGATTCTCCCGAATATTCCTCCGATAATACCAATTTTACCCTTGTACACGAAACTACCCTTAGGGGGGTAATTGTAAGCATTTTATTTAATGAGGGGTCATAAATATATACTCTTCATGAAATATATAAGTGTCTGCAAAATACTTATTTTTCTTAGGGCAAATTACCAAAACCCCCCTGAGGTAAGCCTAAATAACGAAAATCCCCCTCACGTTCTCGTAATTACGAAAACCCCCCGAGGTATGCAGACATCTTACAAATCGCTCTAACGGTGTTAAACTCGATAGAATCTTTTTGATTCTCCCGAATATTCCTCCGATAATACCAATTTTGCCCTTGTACGTGGAACGTTCTGATTGTTCTATTTACAAACGAAATTACCCTTAGGGGGGTAATTGTAAGCATTTTATTTAGTGAGGAGTCATATTGTTGCATAGTTTGTACTTACTGAAATATAACCGTTGCATTTTACCTGTTACTATCTAAGGGGGTTAATTGTAAGTTTTGAGTTATTTGTTGGAATATGACCTTTTTTGCATCCCTATAAATAAGGTGGAATTTTGTCTTCTCTTTCACCTCTCTCTCCACTTCTCTCTATTGCTTCCATGGATTCTTCTAGCACATCCTCTCAAATCAGTGGGTTAAGATACAAAAAGGAGAAATGCAAGAGTTGTGGAAAGAAAACAACAATTATGATATCGGAGACGAGAAAAAATCCGGGAAGGCTCTTTTATTGTTGCCCCGAACACGGCTTCTCACATTGGTGTGAGCCATTTGAAGTTGGTTATAGTTGCTCACATGGTGATACAATAGCTACTCCA